AGGCAAACCAGTGATTACCGGGCTTGATACAGGCAAACCAGTGATTACCAGGCTTGACACAGCAAACCAGATTACCAGGCTTGATTACCAGGTTATTATCTTGACACCACAGGCAAACCAGTGATTACCTTGATAGCAAACTTGATTACACTTGACACAGCAAACCAGTGATTACCAGGCTTGACACAGCAAACCAGTGAGTGATTACAGGGGCCAGTGATTACCAGGCTTGACACAGCAAACCAGTGATTACCAGGCTTGACACTTGCAAAAACCAGTTATTATCAGGCTGGACACAGCAAACCAGTGATTACCAGGCTTGATACCATAGGCAAACCAGTGATTACCAGGCTTGACACAGCAAACCAGTGATTACCAGGCTTGACACAGGCAAACCAGTGATTACCAGGCTTGACACAGGCAAACCAGTGATTACCAGGCTTGATACAGGCAAACCAGTGATTACCAGGCTTGACACAGCAAACCAGTTATTAATTATCAGGCTTGACACCACAGGCAAACCAGTGATTACCGGGCTTGATACAGGCAAACCAGTGATTACCAGGCTTGACACAGCAAACCAGTGATTACCAGGCTTAACACAGCAAACCAGTTATTACCAGGCTTGATACCACAGGCAAACCAGTGATTACCAGGCTTGACACAGCAAACCAGTGATTACCAGGCTTGGCACAGGCAAACCAGTGATTACCAGGCTTGACTCCACAGCATACCAGTGATTACCAGGCTTGAACCACAGGCAAACCAGTTATTATCAGGCTTGACACCACAGGCAAACCAGTGATTACCGGGCTTGATACAGGCAAACCAGTGATTACCAGGCTTGACACAGCAAACCAGTGATTACCGGGCTTAACACAGCAAACCAGTGATTACCAGGCTTGACACCACAGGCAAACCAGTGATTACCGGGCTTGATACAGGCAAACCAGTGATTACCGGGCTTGATACAGGCAAACCAGTGATTACCGGGCTTGATACAGGCAAACCAGTGATTACCGGGCTTGATACAGGCAAACCAGTGATTACCAGGCTTGGCACAGGCAAACCAGTGATTACCGGGCTTGACACCACAGGCAAACGAGTTATTGATGTAGTGAGCACTAACCACACAGTCAGGAACATGTTCCACCCATTTGACTTCACTACACACCAACAGTGACAACCTGAGTTCCATTTACTCATAAGAAACAGTAGGTTTAGATTATCTCCAAGTACTACTTTATTAATGCTTAATGAATTAGATCTGTTCTGTTTATCAGTTGAGAGTATTCATCTGTCTGTGCCATCCTCCATTTCCTTCACCTATCTTGATAGCATCCTTTCATCTTGATAAGGATAAACTAGATGCTAATATCTTCAAGAAACCTATCAGTGTACCATGTTCGAGATAAGCTAATGTCATTTCACTCCATTATCATGTGTATACTTATCAGTGAACATGTACATTATGATTACAGATAATGATTACCATTTCTGACATCAATGAAATCAGATGTGTCTTGACGAGTACATTATTATCTTGTCATGTTTGAATAACTACTTTCATAAGATCTCTGTTGGCCGTTCACTGCTGTCAAAGAATATATACATGTGCTAATTTGATTTTACAGGTGTATTAAATTATCAAATCACATCAAATATGAAAAATATTATTTTACTTTTAGTTTGTGGATACAAGTGAACTAAACATAAAATAACAGGATTTATTTATTGAATATTTTAGACAATATTATGATGATGTGATAATAGTTTTGTTTTTCATTGCAAATATCTGTGACAGTATCTAATACTGTCATACTGACCTTCCTTTATCATGTGTCTTAGGGAGAGGATATACTGTTCATGAGCACCTCATATATTATCACTATTTGGTAGGCATTCATTAAAACATGCTTATGATATACTGGAATTGTACAATGGAAACTGCTTTTCGTACTATGTGTGAAGCCTATTTCTGGTGTCCTCTGCCGTGATGTTGCTGGAATATTGCAACAGCTGGGTAAAACCATACTCACTCACGTCAAGTCACTCAGTCACGTCATGTCATGTCACATCACTCACCCACTATCTCGCTAGTACAGATTGCTGATGAATATGGAACTGTGTTTGGCCACATATATCTACTACAGATATGCAAATGCTCCACTACAACTGAAATCTCCACAAGCACTTAAGCAAAACTATAACAAAATGTGGATCTTATCTGATGATCACAATGAACCCAGTGAGCCAGGCATATCTGAACAAGATTAACAACCAAAAGTATAAATAAAAGCAACAAAAGCCATCTCCATATTCATAAGAAATTTCTACTAAAAGCAAAGCCTATTGTACGATTCTGACTTATCGAAAACCACGTGTCCGTGAATACCTATCATATAGTGATAATCATAAAGATCACAATAAGCATAAAGCTAAACATTGTTGGAGGCCTTTAGCTCGATGGTAAGTTTTTAGTCTCCATCTGAATGATGTAGGTAGTCAGTTGTGTAATTCTGTCACAACACAATAATGGTAATCATTAGCTGCAAAAGCCACGACAGATAAACCATAAACTCTTTTGAGTGTGATATTTTATGAGTGTACTGCAAAACAGACAAACATCGCAGATGTGACGAGATGTTGCAAATACACTGCGTTAGTTTGTATTTTTTTACCCAATGCAAATACATAACCTAGACTGACTGAGTTTGGTTTCATGCTGCTTTTAGCAATATTCCAGCAACATCACGGCGGGGGACACCAGAAATGGGCTTCACACATTGTACCCATGTGGGGATTCGAACCCGGGTCTTCGGCGTGACGAGCCAACACTTTAACAATTAGGCTACCCCACCGCCCCAACATAACCTAGAGCATGGAACATAGGAAATACAACAATGATAAATGTTAATGATGAAGTAATCCTGTTCTTACGCTGTTTAGTTGTAAAAAGAGTTCCTGTATATCTGACCTTATGCTTGCTATGTATTCTATATATTTTATTCAAAAGTTTATTCAATATTATTATCATTGCTTTTGGTGAAAATCTGCATAAAGTGATCAGCACCAGCTTACCATTATTTACACAAACCACTTTCAGGATTACTGCTTTTGATGCATTAAAATAAACTCCACTTGACAGAGAATGGACACATATGTAAAAAATCTTTGACGCGTTAAAAGTCAAACTTGTAGTTTTACTAAACTGTTAATTTACTTCAACTGAATATTTCTCAGAACATTCCATTTTAACAGACATTTGGCTTTTAAAATCAATTAGTCTTTCACAAGATAAATATGATGCAAACTTTCTGATTCTCCTTCACTTTTAAATTGTTTTAGAAAAAGATAGTAAAATGTCAACTCATCTCAGAAAATCATTTAATTGTGTTAAGAGTTACCTACCCTTGCTGTATAACCTCAATGGGGAATCATACATGTTTTTGGGCAGAAAATGAGAGAATGATTGAGTTTGGTATAACACTGCTCTGAACAGCATGTCAGTTATACCACAGCATGTCAACTTGATGTTGGAAATAAGTCTGCAGTGTAATGGAAACAACTGAACATGGATATGCTGTAGACAAACCTAGAAACACTATCAGGAGGAGCTGGTGGTTTGGACTGATGTTATAAGTTTCTGGGCCCTGTTTCACCAAGTTCTTACCACTACGGCTGTTATAACTGTATGTAGTTGGAGTGTTTGTTGTTTAATGCTGCACTCAGCAATATTCCAGCTATATGGGGGCAATCAGTAAATATGTAAAGATCCAGTGATCAACTGCATGAGCATCGAGCTACACAACTGGGCTATGATGACACATGTCAACCAAGTAAGGGAGTCCGACCACCCGATCCAGTTAGTTGCCTCTTATGACAAGCATGGGTGGTGAAGAGGTGAGATGTGGTGAAATGGGGTTTAACGTCACACTTAAGAATATTTCGCTCATATGACGACATGCATGAGTGTGTATGTGTGGCTGCTTGTACTAGCCCAGACTGAAGCTGGTTTTATAGTGCTAGCCCACTGAGATACCATGCCACAATTAAGCATGAATGCCCTACACATGCACATTATACTGACTCCGAGCCGACCAGTTCTTGTTGTACCCATTAATGCCGAGTGCCAGGCAGGGATCAACAAGTACCATATTTTAACGTCTTTTGGTATGACGTGGCCGAGGATCGAACCCGCGACCTTCCGCTCTTCAGGCAGACGCTCTAACCACTACACCACAGTGACAGTCTGTTTGGTGAAGACCAATTCTAACCCGGATCTTCACGGGTCATACGCACAGCAAATTGTGCCACCTGAGATAAGCCCAGACTGCCCCCAGCTGGAATATGGATTTATACATTTTGAATTCATATAAAAAAATCCATCACTTCCTTGCCTTAAGATTGCCAGTTTCAGGACTATATACACATACAATATGATGCTAAATCACTTGAGTTCATGAACAATAAAAACAACATGACCAAAGGAGAACATAAATAGTGTCAACAAAACAGATATATTGAACATAAAATGTGATATAACTTTGCTAATATCCTCTTGATGTCTTAAGCAGATTCACATAAATATCTCAAACAGTGGAGAAATGTTATTTCAAGTTCAATAATGCATAATACCCTAGGGGATTTATTCTAGCCTTACTTGTAATACATAGAAAACATGAATGAGATCAATATAAAAATATTTATTCAAGGTATTGTCAATAATTCCCAATGTGATGGACAAACCAACCGTAAGCTGACAGGCTGGAAACTGAAACAACCCATATAATGATATGCATACAAGTCTTGTATAATGTGGATACAATTTTCAAAACACTGTCACAGTAATTATCTTTTGGAATTCCCACATAGCTATGGATACAGTGAATATAACATTTGCATGATTACACATTCCATCTAATCAAAATGGACATATCCATCCTTCAGCTTGGATGGTTAGTTTGAAACAGAAATTATAACATGACCTGTGAACTTACCTCTTGGGATAAAAACGGGATGACTTGGGCACAAATTGCATTTAGTCTTTTCGCTATTTCAGTCTGAAAGCAAATATTGAATAAAAGCATTAACAATTCACTCTCAGATCTAAGATTTCATTAAAAAAACATTGATGGAAAAAGACCCCCAAAAAATCCCACTCATAATAACTGTAATCCATCAATGGCTTCATCCATATTTATGGGCCCTTTACTCCCAGGAATATTTCTTCTTTCCTGTCTGTCACGACTTTATTAGATCAAACGAGAAAATTAAACAGGAAAAAACACAATAGTGTGTTTGGAATACAACAGACCCCAAAACAAGTTATTGCTTTTTCATTTTTTTAAGCAAGGAAAATCTTGTATGCATAAACTTTGTGTTTTAGCTATTCAGTAGACTGGCTAGCACAGATATATTCAAGTCTATTATATTGTGAATTTAAAGTGCTTCATATCCTTAAGAAAACAACCATGCTGTTTCAATTTTTGAAGAAGGCTGTCAAAACTTGAATTACTACTGTAATGTAATGTGGGCAGCAATTTTGTTCTTCCATATAAATTTTGTAATTATCCAACAGGGAAAAACATATATTTCATAGAATCCTTCAGATAGAGAAAAACACAAGTTTTTTTTTCTTTTTAATCATGTAAATTCCTCTTTTTAATCATTTATAAAGATATGTATTTTTACTGCAAATAGACATGAAAATCAGATTTGAGAAACAGAATTTAAATTACAGAATGAAATGTCAAATGAGTTTAAATTTACATACTAAAATGTCATATTTCAATTGGCTATCAAGTTTTAGCTCCACATAATGTGAATAATCTGCCCACACAACAGTTTATGTTTTTAACTACAAACAAATCACGAATCTTTATGAATACTATTTCACATGCTTGTGTTTTAAGCAATATAGATTTTTCAGAAAAAATATAACTACTAATAAGCAGCTTAGGTTTAGAGGTTTGATCCATATCATTAAGTTAATGTCCTACCCACGGACATGTGATCCTGCATCTTGACACAATCTAGGTTTTTGAGGTGTATTCAAAGCACACCTGCGATGAAGACAGCCTCTCATCTGTCCTTTGCTCATATATCGACTGACTGACTGAGTTTAGTTTTACGCCGCTTTTAGCAATATTCCAGCAATATCACGGCGGGGGACACAGAAATGGGCTTAACACATTGTGCCCATGTGGGGAATCGAACCCTGTTCTTCGGCGTGACGAGCCAACGCTTTAACCACTAGGCTACCCCACCGCCCCTGCTCATATATCGATGTCTCATGGACACATTACCTGCACAAGTTACAAGCTTTTTAACCTAGACATTACCATCTCAGGTTTATACTTATGAATTTTTTATGACATATTATTTGTGTACTTTAATAATTTGTTCAACTGATAATTGATCCCCAATGAATATAATATTACAATGATTGAAAAAAACCTAAAACATTTAGGTGAAATTTTCTCGAGGCACATTTTGATTAATTTAAATTTGAAGTAATACCAATAAGCAATTCAATGATACTCCAAAAACTGACATGTAATACATCTCATACAAAAACAACAATCATGACATTTTCAACTTTTGCAGTGCAACTGGCCTTGAGCAGCATCACATCAGTGATAATGCTATACCGTTCTTTCTCAAATCTCAAAGAGGGCAGTTTCAAATGCTGATTTTATTTAATTAACATAGCAAGGTATGGTTGTGATTACAAAGATTTTTTGAAGCCAGTGTGATACTTTAGAGAGAAAATCAGACAGATATTCAGAAACATCTACATAACTCTATATTTAGTGCAACTCTGTCATGAACAGAGATGTCACATCTTCCCACTCATGGAGCTTAGTCTTTAAGAACATAAATAAAATCATAATTTTTGTATGTACTTTAAACATTGCAAATGGTGCTTCATTTTCACCATGCAATATCTTTCATTGTGACTTACTGCAGTTATGTAAATAAAGTGACAACAATTATAAGCGTTACATTGTTGTGTCGAAGACAAAGGGACCTACATACATACTTTGAGCTCTCTAAAGTTCGACACAACCGAAAAATGATGAATGTAGAAACCCTGAGAATGGACCAAGCTTGTACTTTGAGATAATTGTATGTTTGACATATGAAAGTTTGACACAAAATACATGGATTAAAAGATTGTTGTGAATTCAGAACTTAACTTACTGCAAATGTTTGACTAAAACTTTGTCACATGACGGATCAAAAAGGGTGCAATTATTTGTTCCTTGTGCAAAAATGGTGAAACAGGGCAGACATGACAACACTGTACTCAGTAGAGATGCCACTTTTGGTAGCAACAGCTGGAAAACCTTTCATCCCAAACTGATTCTAACTGGCCAATGACAGTGTTTTAATAGTGCCAGTGAGTGTTGTTTTGGCTTGATCAGATTCTTGCTGGCAACTTTCAAAACATTACAGGTGCAAAAAAATAATTTTGTATTTTTTTGATGGCATATTTGTGTTATGCAAAATCATGACTGAGAATCGTCATGACAATATATATTTTGATGCATTAACAAATATACTTAAGTGATAAATGTGTATACCTTCTTGTTTATTATACGGAATTGGGTAGTCAGGCTCGCTGACTTGGTTGACACATGTCCCATTTGCGTAGATCGATGCTCAAGATGTCATTTACTTGGATTGTCTGGTCCAGACTCAAATAATCACAGATCGTTGTCATATACCACATATACCAGGTAGTTAGAATATTGCGAGTGCAGCATTATACAACAAAGCTAAAAACAATCTGATCAGCAGTATCTTGTTCCCGGTACACATACAACATATTTTATCTGTCAGGAAGTTTTTTCTTGGTGTTCTCACAACTCCTTCCAAGTCCTGTTATTGATACTGATTTTTGTTGTCAATCTGAAACCTTTTTTCAAAGTTCTCTTACCATGAACTAAGGATTACATAATAGGCCTTTAAAGAAGAGGTTTGGTCAGTAATGATTTGCAGTCAGTAAGAGATGCAGACTGTGAATCCTGCAGCAATTCAATAATGGGGTGATCATGTTTCCCACAGCTGAGACAGTGAATGACAGACTGATTGGGGATATGGTAACCTCGCGCACATTCAGAAGAAATGAGGATAGTTTTACATTATAAGAATTGGCTTAACACTGTACCCACTTGATGAATCCAAACACAGGTCTTGAGTGTGACAAGCCAATGCTTAAACCACTGGGCCATACATCTGCCCTTAGAGCATCTATAGACTAATGAACCTCTGCTATACATTTGTAGGTTTCCAAGTGGCCTCAACAGACAACACATCCTTGGGAGTTCTTATATCAAATTCACCACTCTGCTTTGATCTTGCTCAGGAGAGATTCACTGGCAGATCTATCATTCTTGTGTGTATCCATGCAATGCAAAGGAAACGATGACCCAGCATTTGAGAAATTCTTAAAATTGAAACATTTGCTTTTGATAAATATAAAGAATTCACTGAAGCAATCAGTGGAGTACTCATAAGTAAAGACAGTAAACCTTTGTATCTATTAAAAATGATATGTCAATCTGTTTTTATAATTATTAAGACAATTTCACATTTTAAACCTTTTGACTTCACAAAAACACTTACATCAAAGTACAGATTTTAAAGTCCAAATTTATATTAGGTGTTTATTGTACTGAATATTATGTCTTTTATCTTATATTTTCTAGACCAAATATAGTCAATCCCTAACTTAAAAATCAAGTTTTGTAGTTAAAATGAATTTGTGAAATTGGCCAATGTATGCAACCTTTGCTTTTATTCTAAAATGCATAATTTAATCTCTTTGTTAAATTGCCTTTTGCTTTTTTACATTTGCCTAGTTCAATTTGTGGTAAATCTTCAATCTACATGTATGGCTATTTGATCTAGAACTCGGGAGATTTGCAATTCTATGGTGGATGATGGCCATAACTTTGTCTCTCTATCATAGAACGTACTCAGCGAGTAATCTAATTTTCTCGTTCTGTGCATCTCCTCAAGTATATCGCGTGGTCGAGACAGATATCATTTATTCTGCAATATTCAAATAGAAAACATTTGCTCCCTCTCCAGACGATCTTCTTTCACACCATTTATTCTGTGCGTAATCCATAGCATTGTGATTCCGAGCAATAGCCTTTCCTGACGTTTCGGTCAGACCTAGTCCCCAAGCGTGCCATCTGTAACAGAATTACTTTTCTGCTGAAATCCCCCTTCTCCAAACCAATCAATCATGTGGTGCAGAAGGCAAGCTATTCTTCCGAATCCCACGTCAAAATCCCACTTAAGCATCCCAATATGGGCCAAGCATTACGGGCACCATGCTGTTTCAGCGTAAGATGACCATTGAAGCAACATTTGACAATGTGCCAGAGAAAACTCTTATTTGATCAAGTGGGAGAAAATGTATGGTGTAGTGTTTGTATCGGGGGTTCGGTAATGAAGTGTGCGCATCCCAGTTGATGATGTATTAATTCAGTTTTAATTCTGTTTGGGGACAATAAACGATCAATCTACTCCAAACTTCACAAACAATCCCTGTGACAACCGGAATGTGTAGGCAGGTTCATGTGGTCCTTGGTGGGACGAGGGTGAATGAAGTTTTTATCCCATACCTAGTAACACTGTCAAGGATGAGGTTTAGGAGGTAACTGAGTGAATGTGTTGTGTAGGATTAAAGGATTGAATGTTGTGTTGAAATGTGTGTGTAGGTGAGGCTAAAGGATTAAATGTTGTGTGTAGGTGAGGTTAAAGAATTGAATGTTGTGTGTAGGTGAGGTTAAAAGATTGAATGGTGTGTGTAGGTGAGGTTAAAAGATTGAATGTTGTGTGTAGGTGAGGTTAAAGAATTGAATGTTGCGGGTAGGTGTGGTTAAAAGATTGAATGTTGTGTGTAGGTGAGATTAAAGAATTGAATGTTGTGTGTAGGTGAGGTTAAAGAATGTTGGCGGGGTGAAATGTTGTGTGTAGGTGAGATTAAAGAATGTGTTGTGTGTAGGTGAGGTTAAAGGATTGAATGTTGTGTGTAGGTGAG